CCTATGCTTTGTCCCAACAACGCAGCGCAGCTTTTTTTTACAAAGGAAATATCCAATGTGCGGTGGGAACATTTGTTGGCGTCGTCGTTATTTTGTTATTTTGTTATTTTCGGCATTCTACAGCAGCAGTAGCATACCTAGAGAGGCATCGACTGACTTGAGTGTTGGTCTCCGTCACGCACACCCTTTGATGTTGCGCTCCTGAAGGCAGGCCAGCCGCGACTGCCCTGGACGCACTTTCAGCAGATTCTGCCGACAAGCTTTTTCAAGCTTTGCGCGACAGCACATGCAAATATTAGTGCAACAGCAGCAGTCAGCTTTGTGTGTACCTGTGCTACCCCCAGCTCACAGCCGTTTAGGACGAAACTCTCACTTACAATGTAATATGATGCAATATACCACACCCCCTTGTACTGATCTTCAAAGCCTGATTCGTTGACTTGATGATGAAGGAGATATTTCCTCCGAGCGTTATGTTTCGGAAAAGCTCTATTCGACGGTTCCAACGCCGCCATTTTTCGGCACCGTAACTCTGGTTTTGCCGCAGAGCACGTAGCCGAGGACGAGCCTCTCAAAGGGTAGACGACGTAAGACATCACATCCCCTGGCACGACCCTCGAAGCTTGATTTCTTGACGATGAAGAGGACGTACCATACCTCAAGCAGTAATGCGTTTTCGGAAACCTTAGCACGCAACTCCGCCATATTTCGGTGCCGCCATTCTGTTTTTGCCGCGGAGTACTCAACACCGGTCGCCCCGGTGGTCTAGTGGGTAGCCTCGCAGCCTGCTAAGGGCCAGGTCATGGGTTCGAGTCCCGGCAGAGAGAGTTTTTTTCTCACTAAATAAATCCTGGTCTAGGATGAAAGCGACGCGCTGCAAAGCTCGTTTGTTAGTAAACCATAATCGACTTCGTAAGTCGCGAGGGAAGGGATTGCTGTACCCTTCTCGCGATAAAAATACCTCAGGCATGAACCGCAGGAGGGGGTCCAGCCCCCCCCTCCTATGTGACCCCGGTTGGGTCGTCTAGCCAGTAGAAGTGGAGGATAGGGGCCAGAGGGGCAGACGGCAGAGTCCAATGATGGGAGAGAAACAAAAAAAAACAAAAAAAACTCAACCTGTGAAAATCTGTCCAGGGAAGAGGGGGTGATATATTGCGTCACCTACGACTATCTGGTAGCCACATAACGTACGCCTTGAACTGAAAAGCTGTCGGTGGGAGTACAGCCCCCTGGAAAGGCGTCATGTACAGCAAGAAGAAGCAGAGCAGTATCTCCTCTTGTCTGGTTTTTGTGTGTGTCTCGAGGGATTGCTGACTACAGCAGTCGTTTTAGAACCTATACCTAACCTCACAGGAAGACCGCCCGTTCGAGACAAATACAATACCAGTGGTTTGTATTTTATTCGGCGGCCGTTGTTTTCCCACCCACCACCTCCCATCTTTAACCCCCCCCCCGGTGTTTGCCATCGAAATTGGGTTTTCGTCGCTTGGCAACCACGTTGTGTCACTTCGTGAGCTCGGCAACCAGGTTACCGGGGTTTTTTTTCACCTCTGTTATTTTTTTGGCGGTAACCATGAGTGGTGGTCGAGTGGATCATGTTGTGCGGGGTGGGGAACCCTCACTCCGCGCAAGGGGGGTGATCGCACCACGTTGTGTTAANGCCAAACACCCTTAGCAGGATGCAGCGCACCCTTCATGCGACTCGCCGAATATCTCACGGCGCTTCGCGCTTGGTGATGTGAGAGCCTGGTCCGGTGAGAACCCGGCGCGCTCCGTCCCGGCTTCGTAGGGATGCGAGGTCAATGGTCTAACGACACGGCATGCACGACTATGAGTACACCCCCCTGGGTCACGGCCGAGATGAAAAAGTGGTTGGGAAACGGAACAAGTGTTATGCTGTTAAACCTGTTGCCCACAGGAGCGATAACACTGCTGTATGTGATATGAAGACCAGTAGGGTCACAGGCAGCCCATGCGCTAACACTACACTTGTCCCTGGACCCCTGTACGCGTGTGTGGGGGGGTCGAGGTAAATCGTGTTTTTTCCCTCACATTCCGTTGAAAAAAAAACAAAAACACCTCATGTTGGCGAGGTACTGAGCCTATTCTGCAATCTGCTCTTGATTGGCCACTTACTACCATACACCACAGCAGTAGCAGTAGATGTTCTTTCATTGTTGAGCTACATCAGTCAGAGTAGAAAAAAATAGACTCGAAAGAGGTCATGCCGAGGGAATGGCTACGCTCGTGCGTGCTGACAACTCTAACGCTCTCTGCTTGTACAGCAGTAGTTTGCGCCAGCACAACAAGTTGGCAGCAAGTAACTTCACGCTCAACAGCGTTCCAAACCATCATTTGTGACCCCGGCTTTTAAGACCCCCTGCACTTAAACCGATGCATCCATATAGCGGCCGTTTCTAGCCTGACGCAAAGGACAAAGAACCTCAGCCGCGGCCGAAACAAGAGGTTCTCACAAATGAGGGTAATGCGCGAACTGTAGGCAACGGGAATGGCCATTTTTTGTATGCAATTCCCGTCACTTTCTGCTTGGAACACCTGGAGTTGGGCGGAGAAAGCAAGCTGCAAAGGCGGTCTGTCTGTCGTACCACACCTCGAAACTACTGTGACAAGCATAGCTCTACGCACTAGACCTCGTGAACCAGTAGTAGGTACACAGGAAGGCCTTTGTTTCCATTCCAGCAGCGTCCAGCAGCAGTGCACCCAAACACAGACCACAAAGCAGGCAGCATTTTTTGTCGGCTACTGCCTGCAACCAGACCCCACGTGGCCTTCCCCTAGGTCTGCTGCGATTGCCATGCTTTCTTCTACGACGGCTCCTGTTGCTTCTTTAACTGTTTTTGCCTCTAGCATACTGTGTACTACTACCACGTTCCACCACTTGTATACACTAGAGCTTTTATCACGATATTGCGTCCCCAAACCTGAAATACACAACAATACCCAAAACAAGAACACAAGCAACACCCCAAACCCAATATATATATATATATGGAACCGGTGTTCGGCGCTTCTACTACTCCTGCTGTTCTTACGTCTTGCGCTGGTGGGCGTGCATCGGGACACGCGTTTAGAATGTCCGCGCCGTGTCCACGGTGATACCTTGACGGAAAGTATCCACAACATGCCGTCACGCCCCATGCACACGCTCGGACATGAGAGAGTCAGCGAGAGCGTCGAGCTGATTTTCCTGCGTCTCTCTCCACACACGCCCCCGCAGCGGGGTCTATTGGAACGGATTCGATTCTCATGACGGTCATCAGGTTTTTGTTTGTTTTTCTTACAGACAACACAGCGCAAACACATATCCTTCTGTTCCACAGCGAAGAGTCCGCGATAGATTTATCATTTTTTGTCTTGTGTGACGAGCCAACTTGTATTTCTACGGTTCTGAGCAACATGCAGAACGCGCCTGCGCTTTGAGACCCCAGGAGCCAAGAAATTGATCCTGAAAAGGCGTCAAAATTGAAGACATAGCACCATTTGTGAGCTTTGGTTAAGGACCCCTACACACTAAAACCCATATACTCGAAGTGGTGACCAATCGTAGCATTACCCTAGGAATACGGTAACAACCCCAGCCTCGTCCGAAACTATAGTAGAGCTTCTGAAGCGCGGGCGCGTTCTGTAACATAGCGGTACTGTATCTCCAGAAACCCCACTGCGGAACCCACAGTTAGCCCCCAAACTTGAGAAATTGACCGACAAGGGCGTCATGCTCAACATTGTAGAGTACAGGGGGGGGGGGGGGGGGGG